TACCCGGTAAACCTTGTACCCTCTTCTAATCCCGTGCTTGTCACTGCAATAAACCTTAAAGCCCTTGACAACCGGGAAGCAGTGAGGAAGTCCAAGAGTCATTTGTCAGGGGCCCTGCTATGTGTGGTGCGTGTGTCCTCTCACTCAGCGATAACCAGCAGCCCCCAATTATTTGCAGATACAGTAAGCATTCCCTTTGAATACCCCAAGAATAGACCCTAGAATCCCCTAGATGCCCCCTGAATTTTAGTACGCTGGCCCCATAGAGCAGTGTTCCCACCCAACCCCTGACATGCCCCTGCCCCCCTAAGACCAACTAGTTCTCTCCTCAATGATACCCCATCAGACAGTGCTCCCCAAACCCTTCCCCAAGGTTCTATCTGCTGCGCTATGTTGGGGGCCAAGTACGTGGGGTGTCATGTGATGCAAATTGAGCAGGCCGACCGGAGTCGAACCTACAACCTCCTGCTTGCAACACTGGAGCTCTAACCAACTGAGCTACCATGGTTGCCCCTTCTCAAGGGTATTGATAAGGGCCTCGCCACACCAATGTCTGAAAACCAGTTTACGACAAACGGGCATCGCAACACAGATGTCGAGGGGTAAGCTGTAGACACCGCTTCGACAAGTGTCAGAGGAGAAGTTTCCACATGAGTCGAAACTGCCCGCTTGTGGTGGGCCTCAGCTCTGAGGTGGTGAAAATGGAGGCGTTTTCGACATTTATGAGTGTTGTCCTCTGCCCGCCTGTGGTGGGCTGAAACTCGACACCTCAACTCTGAGGTGGTGAAAATGGAGGCGTTTTTGACGTTTATGAGGGTTGTCCTACTATGCCCAGCGGCATCCGGCTTCTACATCCCGCTGATCCGAAATGACCTCTGTGGCGAAGGCGGGTATTTTGTAGAAAACACCAATGTTGAGAAACGGCTGACAAATGTTGAAAATTAAGCGGTTTCGACATTGGTGTGGCGAGGCCCTAACTTTGGGCAAGGCGGTGAGTCCCTATCCATCAGCCAAATGCGTCCTGGGAAGACTGCCAGGATCCAACCTCATGACGAGTCGGTGAATATCTGATGAAACAGTCTGTCACAGTCACCCTTTTCTTTTCTTTTCTTTTCTCTTTCTTTCTTTCTTTTCTTTCCTTCTTCTTCTTCTTTTTTTTTTTTTTTTTTTTTTTTTTTTATTTCCTGGTCCAACTTCTCTTTCAACTTCTTCTTTAACTCTTCTTCTTCTAGCTGGGCCTTTTTCTTTAGTTCCTCTTCTTTCTCTTTCTTTCTTTCTTTTCTTTCCTTCTTCTTCTTCTTTTTTTTTTTTTTTTTTAAGCCCTGGTCGCTGTAGAAGCCGGACTCCGGACACACGGGGTTACTTGCACAGCTATTGGCTGTCCTGACACTCCCTTATGCTCCGCAAGACCACCTCCCTACCCATCCTCTCGACCATTCTCCTAGCTCACCCCTATCCTACTATCCTACCTCAGTATTGAGTACTCAGGACTATCACCATGCTATTTCAGAGGGCGACTTGGACCAGACAGCAGTTCCAGGCACCGGGGCTAGGCAGGGCCAAGCGCGAAGCCTTGAAAGCCCCACCCAGTCCCAGTTGAGGCACAATCAAGCAAGCCACATTACTTGGGTACATCGGGCGCCAGGCTCAAGCATTATGTGTACTTCACCTACCAACCCCCATTCTGGCATGTTATTTTGTTATCTGTGTGTTATCTATGTGTCCTACTCTGGCATGTTTCTTTTTCTTTCGTTTGTACAGATGTCAGATACCGAGGTGGGACAAGGCCAAGCGCGAATCCTTGAAAGCGCCAGCCAGCCCCAGTCGTGTGTGTGTGCTATCTGTGTGCTATCTACGTGCCCATGGTTCTAGACACCAAGGCCAGGCAAGGACAAGCGCGAAGCCTTGAGAACCCCTGCCCGCCCCAGTCGTGTATGTGTACATGCGCCATGGTTCCAGATACTGAGGCTGGACAAAGGCAAGCGCGAAGCCTTGAAACCCCCTGCCAGCCCCAGTTGTAGCGTGGACCCCCACCAAGCCCCAGATGAGTTCCGTATGCATAGAGTTGTACTGTCATGTGAATGGCAGGACTATCTGTGCAAAATGCCCCTCGAACCCATGCCCTTTGTTATGTAACAGCAGTGCCCTACCATATGTGCTACACTGTGAATTGATGCCAATGTATGATATGCCGGACCACGGAAGAATATCAGAGCCATCAATGACCACGTCAAGCAACCCACGCATAGTCAAGACCCAGCATATAACAACCTGGAGTAAGTCCCCTGAGCGATGCAGGCAGGGTCTGTATTCATAACCATGCAGCACCCAGAGGACAGTGTGTACAGCCGCACGTTGGTCAACGCCCACAGGCGGAAGTGCGCAAGGCTGCAATTGAGTTTTTAACCCGCAACCTCATACCACAAATGCGCATTTCCAACCGGTGCTCTACCCACTGAGCTACTCGGCTGTAAAGTCAGTCTTTTCTTTGGAGCTGTTTAAGTGAATACAGAACACACACGTATGTGTGTACATCATCGAACCAGCCAGTAGGTGGAAATGACTAGTATACATATGTAATGAGGGTGCGTTGTTCTCGCGGGAAGACAGTACTGAGCAGATTGTTCAATTTCTACCAGCTTCCCAGCGGGGTAGATCGGTCTTTCGGAGACTCAGCCCATTTCAGACCTTTGAATGTACCCCGGCCGCATTGATCCCTAAGTTCAGAAAAAGGGCCATATTGAATGTACCCAGGTGCTTTGGGCATTATGCTTTCTGTTTGTGGGTTGATGTCATTGATGTGCTGCATGCCATGTCCTTGATTTCATTCCCTGGTAGGAGGACACAACATCGCATGATTTGGAATAACTGTTTCTTCCAGAATTGCACCCTTGAGTCCCATATGAAACTCTTAAGGCCCCCCAGTGCTGGCTCTTTGCCAACTGCAAGATGCCTGACATCAATGTGGTCCAATTGGAAGTGAGCACACATCTATCTGAAAGAATTGCGCCTGTGCTCTCCTGCATGACAAGGCTCTCACATAAATGTAATCACAAAAAGAAAAAGTTAGGCATGGTATTTGCCCAAATTGAAGAATCCATGGAAATAGCCTGCTCAGGTTGGCAAGAGACCAAAAAAACTAGCCCAATCATAATTTCCCCAAACGTCTGCAGTGCACAGGTGCATGCATCTGGCCATCTGTTGTGCACATATACCTTCTTCTGACCTGAGTGGGCTAGCTTCGGTCTTCACCCAACCAAATTTGTAACAAACCAAATGGAAAGCCCACCATGACATCACATGCAAGCACATCCAGAAGCACCACCACACCCAGACAAGAGCAACTGTCCTCTTAAATGAAACAATTCACGCTGGAAACAATTCACGCTTTCAAATGAAACAATTCATGGAATCCTTAGTTCATCACTTTAAGCTGGATCACAGTAGCAATGCAGGCGGACCGCGACGGCAGCGATGGCCTGAATCGAAGTACTTTTTCCCCCTGAATAGAACAGCTTGGGATCTTACCAAGGCCTGTGGCTGAATGGTACACACATGTAGCTGTTCATAAACAAATCACGAGTTCCAATCCTGGTGGATACACTAACATCAGGGGCTACCCCGCTTTAAGAGAAAGAAACAACTCGGCATCATCTCAGTATCGGTTCGTTTCAGCAATGATGCCTAGTCATTCTATTTGGGGGAAGGCAGCAGCAGCTCCAAATGTGCGACTGAGGAATGCAAGATCGAGGCAGCGGACATCCAAAGCTTGCCAAGTTGGTGAGCCTATAAAGCTCTACTGTCACCACAGCACCGACACCACAGCCAAGACCTCAGTAGACTGCAATGATACTGTTCTGGTCTATAGATTGTAATTCCCATTCAACCACCAGTACACCCGGGCCTCGTGGCACTTTGTTATTCCCATTAAACCACCAGTACACCGACCCTGGTGGCGCTGCACTGCACACCGAGCTTCGCCGAAACGCCAGCTGCACACTTCTTTTCTTTTTTGGCGGGCGCCGCCAGCCATTGTGGTCCGGTAGACCCGATCCTCCAAAATTGTAGGAGTGTGCCCTGAAGAAATCTTGCAAGGCTGGGGCAGTGTACTGGCAGTTTGAGCACTATTCCCATAACAATCATTCCCATACCTTTTAAAGGACATTGGGGCGTCCTCGGGGCCGAAGGAAGTTTCCTTCGGGGTTTTGAAGGAAATTCCCTTTGTCGTTCCACCTATCCTCGGGGCGGCCTCCCAAGGACGATTCCTTTTTGGCCCCTGCGGCCCGCTTCATAATATTATATCCGTCCGCCCCCGCAGCGCCCCCCTTGGTCCATTGGGTGATGTCCATCTCGCGGCGGTGGTCCAGCTGCCGACAGCGGGAAATTTAGGATGGCGCCGGCGACAGGGAAAAAAGAAACTGTAAAAGCACAGGGGCCCTCCCGGTTCGAAATTCAAATTTCGAATTCGGTGGGGGACGTGACGACGACGCCGTGTCGCAGTCGGCTTGCCTTTTGGCGGATGATGGAAACAGGCATTCCAGCGGGGTGGTGGCGTACCGGGGTCGTCGTTCGTTGTTTCACAGCCTTCATTTGTCGACGAGCGAAGGTCGACTGCCATCACCTCCTCCTGCTGACGGCCTTGTGTCTTCAGTGAGAGACTTGCTGGGAACGTCATCCGCGACTCCGAGGTGAGGCTGACGTCATCGTCGACGTGGTCCTTTCTTTTTTTGTGAGGCTGTTGATCCGTCCTTGCAAGGACTCGTGGCGATGGAGGTCGGCGGCGACTACGGACGTGTGAAGTTGACGACTGTCGAGAAGACGACCGTTGTGGCGGCCATGACGATTGTGCTCTTCCGTTGTCAGCAGGAGAGGTCATTGGGCAGAATGAGAGCGCAGATCCGCGCGCGGAGGAGGAAGATGGCTCAGGGAGCCCAGGTCGATGGGCTGGATACAGTGGCCATCACCGAGGCTTCACTCCAGGTTTGCTACGCCATGGGTTGCGGCGTTGTTCCACGCGTGACGCCAAGATGGTGGACGAAAAGGAGGACGTGGAGGATCTTAGGCAATGTGACGACACGACGGAGGAGTACTTCCGGGAGAAGCTGCGTATGTTGCCACATGTCTTTCGGGAGATTGCTGAAGCTTTGTCGCCTCATCTACAGAGGCGTGTGACCTTTTACAGGGAGCCACTGCAGCCTGATCACATCGTCGCTTATGCGTTGTACATGTGGGCATCGGGGGAGACGTACGAAAGTAACACATGCAACTTCAGGATTGGGAGAGCTTTTGGGCTGGTGGCGGTTCGGGACGTGATGGCTGCGCTGCTGGCGGTGTATCGGGAGAAGATATCATGGCCGACCGGGGTGTGCAAGTTGGCAATCCTACGAGCATTTGCTGACAAAGGATTCCCGAACTGCCATGGGTGCATCGACTGTGCTCACGTCTACATCGACAAGCCGGCAAACGCCCCCAGCGATCGTAAACGGCGTTTCTCGGTTGTCGCACAGATGGTCGCTGATCTCAATCTGCGTGTGCTGGGCGTTCATGTCTGCTACCCTGGAAGTTGCCATGACGTCCAGGTCATCCAACTCTCAAGTCTGTGGGCGCGTGCAGAGGCTGGCGATCTTTTCTCAGGCCCGCCAGTGATGCTCCCCTTCCAAGTGCAGACGAACAGGTACTTGCTGGGCGACAACGGCTATCCTCTGTCAGAATGGATAGTTGTGCCGGACCCGCCGGGATGGCGGTCCGTTAGGATGGAGACGAAGAAGGAGGCAGAGATGGAGCTGGAGGGGACAGCGCAGCTCCGACGCAGACTCCACACGCAAGTACTCCAAGATCTGCGAAAGTGAAGAATGCCGAAAAACAGACTGCAGCTGGGGTATACCCCCAGCGGACTGACTGGACTGGACTGGACTGGCCTGGTACCGACCGTGGTACCGGGCGGGACTGGACTGGACTG